AAAAAAAAAACTGACGACCGGTGAACAACGCTAATAAATTGCATTTGAACTGTATTTTTTCAGTATCATAGATACTTCCAGTTTACTCGAAGATTTTATTACTTTTTTTCTTCTCTCTAACATTTGGAACATTGCCTTGCTTTTGGGCAAAAAAAAGCTTTTTTGGTTAAATGTAAATTAGGTGAAAGCTGATAATGATGGTGATGTGATGCGGAAAATGATGTTGCTATTGATGTTAACTGGATGACATATAATGGTTTGTTGAAGATATCAGTCAGTCATGTTGTTTTTTTTTTTAAGGTTTCTAAGATGCGTTCTAAAATTTTGCTTCTACGGCCTCCTACCGACGAACCAACGCCGTTACTATGGCGTCATAGTGTTCCGAAATTTTTTCTGCCAAAAACTGATTGTTGGAAACGTCTAAGTGATCCAGGGTTTGTTTTTTTTTTTAACCGTATTTCAATTAGAGGTTTTATGGAGTTGAAAATTACCCGATTTGGTTTTCTGTTTTCCGCATAAAAATGTTTATTCTTTGTTAGCAGTGCATTTGTCATCTTCATTTATTTATTTATTTTTATTTTTGTTTTTTGTTCTTTATTTTTTGCCCCAGACAAGGTCAATATTGGTAAGTTGTCAAGGCACTGCGTAATGTATTTTTGGCCATATTTTTTTAGCTATTAGTAATCGTATTTTTATAAAATTAGTAGCGGTTCTTCTACTTCCTTCACTTTTTGTCTCTCTGTAATTATTACATGTAGCCAACACTTTTCAGTGTTGTCGAAGAAGAATGTAAAGCAAAGAATGCAAAACTGTGGCAAACGGTAGAAAATTATAAGCGAAAATTTAAGGACCTAATAAAAATTCAAGACGATTGGATTGTTTTCACTGAAAATGGCGCTATTGATGTCGAAAAAACGGCACTCATTTCGTTGGTTTCTGTAACAATTATTGGAAACTGGAGCTTAGACTTACGAAGCGATTTCGAAAAGTTAGTTTGTTTTTCTAGTTCTAGGTGGTTTTGGTCTGTTACCCAAGAGAAATGAAAGAAAATGAAGTTATCTAGAATAGAAGTGTGGCACTGCTGTTTAGTTCGGAAAACAGTAGCCAAAAAGGTTTTTATCATAGAAAAAGCCATCCAGTAGTATTTCTTTTCAA